AACCAGAATGTCATTGACATAGACCTCCATCGATTTTTCGATCTGCTCGAAAAACATAGGTTAACCAAACACTAGTAGGTTGCCCTAGCGTTTTTCAAACCGAAGGGCATGACTTTATAATAGTATAGGCCCCAATCTATGATGAACGAGGTATGCTCCTCGTCAAGCTCATACATCGGGATCTGATTATACCCTGAGTAGGCATCCATGAAGTTCAACAGCTCATGCCTAGAGCTGGCGTCGACGAGCTGATTGATCCTGGGCAACAGAAAACTGTCTTTCAGACAAGATTTGTTGAGGTCAAAGAAATCAATGCAAGTTCGCCATTTGCCTTTGGGTTTCTTCACCAAAACTGAATTGGCAACCCAACTTAAGTAATGGGCTTCCCGAATGAACCCGTTTGAAAGGAGCTTATCCACCTCAACTTCAAGAGTAGCATAGCACTTTGGCTCCATGGCTCTTCTCTTCTGGTGAACTGGCTTGACTGTGCTGTCGATGTTGAGTGCATGACATATTATATTCGGGCTAATCCTGACCATATCAGCATGAGTCCATGCAAAAACATTGATATTCTGTCTAAAGAAGCTCATTAAATCTACAGCAAGCTATAGGTTGAGATTACTCTCGATTCTCAACAATCACATCGACTCATTCTGGTTGACAGATACCTCGAACAGAGACTCAATCGGCCCACTGTAGGAATACTTCTCCTGAACACGAGGATCTATGCAATCTTCCACTAGACCCGGCTGTGGCTCGATCCTACTGATCGCCATTGCCTGCTCGAGAATGCCCACCGGCTTCCCTTTCCCTTTGTATGCCATCTACACTACCCTTGCATAGCAGTCGCGAGATTCGTTCTAAGACCCTTTTATTTCCCCACACCCCGTCGGAGTGGGAAGATTCATCTTCAAATGATAAATAGAGGTGACAGCCTTGCAACTTTGTAGTAAAGGTCATCCCAAAATGCCATTAAAAGCAAACGAATAGTCTACCACTAAGAATTTTGTCATCTTGTTCACTTTGTTGGTCTTACCCAAAGTGATAGGAAGTGCAATTGTTTCCTTGGGAATTAGATGATCCCCAATAAAACCATAGAGAGGGATAAAGGCAGGCTTCAGATATGTTTTGTCCAATTGCATCTCCTCAAAAGCTCGCTGAAATAGGATGTTCACAGCACTGCCATTGTCCACCAACATCTTGTGGACTTCGTACCGACCTATTATACGCGTTATGACGAGTGCAGCCTCATGGGGATGATGCAATCATACCGCATCTTTCTCTAAGAAGGTAATCTCTTCTTCTCCGTAAACCTTAGTGGGTCCCGACGTCATGCTCATCACACTCATGGGGTCATGGCGAGCTTCCCAAGTGCACCTTTCCTAGGTACCTCGAGAATTCCTCGTGAGTTGTTGTCCTCCAAAGATGATCCCCACGAAGTATAGACCCTTACGACTACGATGTTTCTTCCTCTATTCCTCTTGATCCTTCTCCCAAACGGGAGTCAGACCATCAACATACTCCTTGAAGTACCCATGCTTGATGAGGTCTTCAATTGCTTGCTTGAGAGCTCGAAACTCATTGGTGTGGTACCCATTATCCCGATGATAACGACAATATTTCTTGTTGTTTCTTGTCGAAGGGGGATTGTTCATGGGCGCCAACTCTCCAAGTAGGTTGGCCTCTTCTGACTTGTCCAAAATAGTCGATACTAACGCGTTCAGAGGAGTCTATTGATTCTTGTCCCAATTACAATGAGGAACCTAGGCATAGGATTTCTTAGGCTCAAACCACTGCTTCTTTCCTTTTCGTTGTTTGTCATTAGCCCACCTACGATCAACTCTTCTACTACCTTCCCCCTGGTTAGAAGCACTGGTCGAAAGACTGGGGTCGTGGCTATTGAGAGCGACCACAAAATTCTCTATTCGGAGATACTTCTTCGTAAGGTCATAGAAGTGGGTGAGGGAAATGTCATCCTCAGATTGCAGCTTCTTCCATAGGTCGGTCTGCAGGTGAACTCCCGCAATAATGAGAGTCCAAACAAATTCTTTAGGTGTGTTAGCCACCTTGTGCAGCTCCCTGTGGAACTTGTCAATGTAGGACTGGAGGGATTCATTCTTTTCTTGTCGTATGTTGCTCAGATAGCTTAATGGCATTGAGAACTTCCTATTTGCCTGGAAGTGTCTCAAGAATAACGAGCGCATCTGTTGCCACGAGTTAATAGATCCTAGCAGAAGCGATCTAAACCAGCGCTTGGTGTGGGCAATCACGGTCATTATTAAACAACGACATTTGACCAAGTTGGCAACTTGGTGAAGCTCCATGAGGTCGTTAAACTCATAGAGGTGATTATGCAGATCAGAATTCCCATCGAATGCTTGCATATCGGGCATTCTAAACCTCGACGAAAGAGGAGCAACTAACACTATTGGAGAAAAGAGAGACGTCTCAACGACTTGCCCATGCTTATTTTGCTGAGCTCTAAGCTGATCTAGAGCTCACTGTAACTCCTCAATCTGAGGCAGCGCAACTACCTGAAGATCACTTTTCGCAATGTGGGTTCGACCCTCACGATTATGGTTGAGGAAAGACCATAGATCGGACTCTTCCTTACCTTGGCCGGAGGCTCCGGCATATCTTGACACACGCTGACTGGAGCAATGTGAAGGCAATGAAAGGTTTGGGGAATTAGCCCGAACTCCGCGGTGGTCAGAATCGACCTGCGGTTGCTAGGGGTTTCCCTGCCTTGCACTCTTATAGGGGTGCCCATGCGATATGGCGTGGGACGATTCATGATGTGACATGTCGCCAAGTCACAAAGCCACAGGTATTCTACCTGTTTCGCGATCGGTATTTGCTATTCCCTTGGAGCCCTTCAGCCCATTATCTTCCACCTGTTTTCCCTTGCCTTTACAGGCTGTAATGCACCGACATGGGCCTTCGCCCGTTTCCGCGCTTTATCACAACCTACTAGCATTTTTTGCGGTGGCACCGCCTTGTCGGACTCAAGTGGTACGATATGATCTAAACAGTCTAACCTTCGATTAACCATTTGGAGAGTATTATTGAACCTCCCCAGGTAATCCATCATAGCTGGGTCGAGTTGTGAGCTCGAAGGAATGTCTACTGTAGTACTATGCTGAATCAGAGGCACTTTGAGAGAAGTGTCATCCTGTACCCGGGGCACCTACTCATTGCTAGGGCTAGCTCACTCGGTTTTGAAACCACAGGCCATTTGCTAGTGAACAAACTCGATTGATCAGAGATTCATGATGAAGAGCGGATACTAGATCAAACCCTCATTCTAGTGCCAAACTGTTGATGCTCGATTTTGACACCAACTATTCACACGTGCAAACTGCTAAGCGAACTTAGAAATTACACGTGAACTGGAAAATGAAATAAATAAAAGGGAGACAATTTTTAAAGTGGTTCGGATGCTCAAAGTGAATCCTACGTCCACTGTCTTTTATTTATAAAAGATTACAATCAGGTCACATGTAGCGATCAGAAAGAATAGAAATACAGAGAGGGAAAGAGAGAGTGCTTTTATTATCAGAATTAGAATCCCGAAAAATGAGAGGGGAGCTCTCTATTTATAGTAAGAGGTTTCTAGGTAATGATTACGGGTCTGCCAGCGGGTAGGTGCCGTACAGTTCCTACCCTGCTTCCCATTGGCCAATTGCACGGAAGATATCCTTAAATCATGGAGGGCTTGGATAGGTGGGTGACTCCCAGCCACTCATTCGCCCGACCTTTACCTGCCAAGCTGATGACAGCCTTACTCCTTCTGTCCTTGGACGATGTGGCAACGCGTGGACGACACAATTCCTTCCTCAACTCTAATTGGTCCTTGTTGATGTAAGCCTATGTCAGCCCTAATTTTTTAGGCATAACACTATTATTTCTTATTCTTGTAATTTGCTTTCTTTGTGTTGTTCATAATGGATTGTTTAGTGTTTAGTATTATTTTGTAATGGATTATGTTGGGGATAACAGATTTAACTCAAAACTAATTTAGACTCAATTTGGCTTATATAAAATAGCAAAAGCTTCAATTTATTAATTTATAAATAAAACTCCCTCATTGATCTAAATTAATCTATATGGATGAGACCCCAATATTATACATGATCAAATTAAGTTAAATTCGCAACATAATTTTGTTGGTAATCATTTTGGGTAATTTTTTTTTTACTTATTGTTTTTACCATTAGTATGTCACAAAGGCTACATAGATCAATAGAAATAACTTTTATTATTATTAACATGTGTCCTAATTAATCTTTGACTCATCACCTCATAGATAGGTCATTTTTATTTAGAGTAAGGGGGTGTTTGGATCATATAATATTTTATTGTAGGAGTATATTATATTAATGGAAAGAAATATCACCTTGAAGATTACTCAGAATATTTAGATTCTATGTTTAGTTGGTTTGAATAAATTGGTGAATAATATGTTTGGTTGGGAGGATTAATGGGTGGGTATGTTATATAGATTACTAAATTGCCCTCCTTTTTAAGTATTAATATAATAGTAATTTTTATTATTATTTTTTGAATCATTCTTTTAACCCCCTACATTTGAAATTTTGCTAAAACACCCTAGCCATATAAAACTTTAATTTGTAACAAAATCACCCCCACCTACCTAAAGCCACTGCAGCCAGCCACCTAACACTGTCAGCAGCCGCCGACAATCTACGGAATGGCATACGACTGGCCGTATATGGCTAATCATGCGCCTGCAAAGCCGAAAATGGTCGTGAATCACAAATTCATGGCTGGAAAACGGCCAGATCTATGGCCATTTCACGACCACATATCTTAGCTGTGAAAAGGCCACATCTTTGGTCGTGCCATTTCACAACCAAAGATCTAGCCTTTTCACGGCCAAATCTATGGCCACTTCATGACCACATCTTTGGCTGTGAAACGACCATAGAAACGCTAGATCTAGCTGTTTTTGGCCATGGATCTATCATCCATGGTCGAAAATGGCCTTACCGGCGCATAACTGGCTAGAACCCATCGGTCGTGTACCATTACAGCGACTGACGTCTACGGCCGACGATGGTGAGTCATGGTCGACGGTGGTTTTGGGTGGTCGGGGGTATTTTGTTAACTTTTAAATTTTTTTGTGGTTGGGGGTATTTTGTTAACTTTTAAACTTTTTGTGGTTGGAGTGTTTTAGCTAATTTCTCAAATGTAAGGGGGCTGAGTAATTGTTATTTGGTAGACATTTGAGGGCAATTGTGTCCGAAATGGATTTTAATTAAGGGCAAAATGGGCAGAAAAATCATATCACCTCGATAATATTTTAATAAAACCCATTAACAAGATAATAAGATTACCCCCTACATTACCAACAGGAAACACTATTTGCAATAAAAGATTACCGTAATATTATATTACTTGTAAACCAAACACGGGAGAATCTAGCAAAATAAATGAAGATTACCCTGTTATCTTATATACCCCCAATCCAAACAGAGCCTAAAAGTCATTTACCTCTCTAAAATTTTTGAAACTCACAATTTTCAGTTAATTATCCCAATTTTAATCAAATTTGTAGAAATGATCCGGGTGGACTTCATCTTCATCATCGAAGTCTTGTTAAGGAACACCTACTCTACACTTCGAAATGAGAAACAAGACCATATTTTTAGGCAACCATATTTGCTACAGGACATTTGGTATGATATGTGGTTGCTTGAGAATCAAATTCCATTCTTTATTCTCGATGAATTTCTTAATCTAAACGAAGTTGTTGAAAAGATCCCAGTTGAGAATGATTATCCAACAGTCATCTATCTTATTTACAATTTTTTCGAGGATTTAGAGGCAGTAAACTGAAAATTACACAAGTTGATTGATTGTAAGAAAGAAGCGAAACATTTCACTGATTTTCTAAGAATTTGTCATCTACCATCTCATTTGCCATCAGATCCGCCGGGAGAAAAGAAGGTTATAATTTATAAGATATTGTAATTCTGAAATTGTAATAAATTATTTTTGTTTGAGGTTTTATTTGATTTAAACATGCACATCAGCTAATTAAGTTTTGATGCCTACTACCTAGATTTTGGGATTAATATCAAAGAATGCTTCAAATGATGTACTATAGAATATAGGTAGACTTACCACTAGGTTACAAATTAACTATCCTGAATTTGTATTTCAAGTTATGTGATAAATTAAATATCCCAAACCTGTATTTTAAATTATGTGACGGCAAATTTGACTAGTCATATTATCTACCAATATGTCATTATTAATATTTAGTATTCACAAAATACTCACATTAATTAGAATATACACACAAAAAGCAGCGTTATTATTTGTTAGTGCATTATCTTTGAGAGGGAGTTGATTGTTTACCATGTTGGAGTTAACAGGACGAACAATCAAGATCTTCAGATATGCCTTGGACACATTTGGAAGAGAAATTGGAAAATTTTTCAGAATTGTTTTTTTTTTTTTTTTTTTTTTTTAATCATAGATTGCAGAATATATAGGAATGATACAATCAACTGAAATCTCGTAATTATATTAGTTAATATATTTAAAATATTACATAATATGTTAAATAACATAATTAGGAGATTACGGAGTATACAAAATATCTTGAAATAATTAGAAGATTACAAAATATACAAAATATTTTACCACTCCCCCTCCAAGTTAGTGTATAGATGTCACACGTATCCAACTTATCTAAAACATATGAGAATATGCTTCTAGAGACTGCTTTGGTAAGGATGTTGGCTAATTGATCGTATTATCGAATCCTAGACAATTCAACAATATTTTTATCTAGTTTTTCTTTAATAAAAAATGTGTCCACTTCAATATGTTTCGTACGGTCATGTTAAACTAGATTATGACCAAATACCACATGTTGTTTTATTATCACAATAAAATTGGATTGGTTGACTAGGTGGATAACCCAAATCTTCTAAGAGAAGTCTTAATGGATTAGATATTGGATATTTATAATCCAGTCTAATCCATTTGAATTAATATGGATTCAACTGATCTATTTCATATTGGATTAGACTTAATATGGATTCAACTGATCTATTTCATATATAGATTGATCCAATCCAATCCAAATTGGATAAAATTCATGGATATCAAATCCATTAGATTTTTTTAAAATCCCTACTTTTAGAGTGATAAATATGATATATTATGTCTAACAAAAACAAATAAATCATTTACTTTATTTTTGTTGAAAGTTCATACTATAATAAATCATCTTGATCGCAATCCAAAGCTTCAAAAAAGATGAATTACATCCCTTAAATTAAGGGGCTAGCTTCATATAAACCATTGGACTTTTTATTCATAGCAAATAAATCAGGCTGCTAATGTAATTTTTTCAATTTCCATGAAAGAAAAAATATTGCTCACTTTTTTATCACACCTTAAGACAATGTTCAAGAATTTTAGATGCTCTTTTTGTGGAAATTGTATGATTCTATCATACTGGTTGGGAATAAACTCGAGAGTTTCTATTTGTGCGTTATGAGCAAATTAAAGCTTAGAAATTTATACTATTATTATACCCTTTTTTCTTTTTCTTTCTTTTTTTTCTCTTTTCTAACCTTGAAGCTTTTTCATGGTTTATTTGCTTCAGATGAGGTTTAGGAATATCATAACACGCCATCCTATACCGGATACAATTTTATATTAAAAGAATGTTGATATTTTAGTGGCTTGATCATCTTCTAATATATATATATATATATATATAATTTTTTTTTAACTATTTTCTACTAATAACCCATTATAGATCTCAAACGAGTAAAAAATAATATTTTTGACTTGGACCGGTAAAATGACAGTCATTCAAGTTCTTTAGTTCTGTGCATAAATTTAAAAGTGCAGCCCTCGTAATTGAGGAAAATCTAGAGAAATGGATATATATAAGGATCATACTTATATAACCACTGGAAGAAAGGGATATATATAAATATACAAGGATTCACATTAATTAACTACTTTATGGTGACTTGAGCTCGAAGAAAAATCAAACATTTATACTCGTTGTTATGAGGTTCTGATGCATATCTATGCTGTTCCAAGGAAGATGCCGAGACTTTAAATAGTATTTGTGCACTTTTCTTTTCTTTATTTCTTTATTCTTTATTCTTTTTTTCCCTTTTTTAACTTATAAATCTTCACCATCTTCTTCCAAACCTGGATATGAGCAGATTTACCCTATCATCTTAAGAGCTTCTGTGCAACTCCAAGAGATCAGCCACTACGTGCAGTTAACATGTAAGTATGCACATCAATTTTTATTTCTCATTTATCAAAAATATACGTGCGTTATATCTCACATTGAATTAATTAATTGTATCTTATTTGAGTTAACAGGGCGATAGAAACCAATATTGATGCAAGACTAAAGCCACGAAAACCTTTGAAAGCAAAGTTAGAGGAGCTGCCACAATTCCCCCGTTCCTCAAACTGTTGTATCTATAGAGTTCCACAGCGTCTTCGCCAAGAAAATGAAAAAGCTTATGCACCTCAAGTAGTCTCCATCGGCCCTCTTCACCACGGGAAACAACACTTAAAATCCATGGAAAAAGAAAAACAGAGGTACCTGAAAGAATTCCTTGAACGGACTGATGCAAAATTGGAGGATCTGCTCAACTTAATCACAGAAAAGGAACAACAATTGCGTAGCTGTTATGCTGAAGAAATAGAATTTGATCGTGAGGAATTTGTGGAAATGATCTTGGTGGATGCAACGTTCATCATTGAAGTGTTATTGAGGTCTCAGTTCCGAGATTTACAAAAACAAGAAGACCATATATTTGAAAGGCCATTTTTGATACAAGATATATGGTACGAAATGTGGTTGCTTGAGAATCAGATTCCATTCTTCATTCTTCAGGATATTTTTAACCTGGAGACTATCTCTGAATTAGTGAAGAATTGGAAACCAATCATCGAGCTTACATACGAATTTTTCAAGAGTTTAGAAGCAGTAAATGGCAAATTAAAGAAGTTCGAGAACAATAACGTGGAAGTGAAACATTTCACTGACTTTATAAGAACTTGTCATCTACCATCAGTTAAATCGGCTCCACGTCCAAAGAAAAGAAAAGTTGTAACTGCACCAAGTGTGATCCAACTCAACCAAGCTGGAGCGAAGTTCAAAAAGAGCGAAAGCAACGAGTCATTTGATATAACATTCACAAAGGGGACTTTGGAAATTCCGCAGCTGAAACTTCAGCTTGAAACTGAATCTTTGTTTCGGAATTTGATTGCTTTTGAACAACGTCATTATGTGGATAATTATATTAACGATTATGTTTTTATCATCAATCATCTTTGCAATACTCCGAAAGATGTTGAACTGCTTGTTCGAGAAAAGATTATTGAAAATTGGTTGCCGGATAAAAAGGGGGCATCAACTCTTTTAAATAACCTCTCAAAAGGGACAACTTTGGATTATGAGAAATTTTATTTTCTTAGTCTTTGTGAAGATTTGGAAGACTACTGTAAGAAAAGGTATAACATGTGGAGGGCAACTCTGATACAAAATTATTTCAACACTCCATGGGCTATCCTTTCGGTAATTGCTGCTATTTTTCTGATTTTACTTACAATTGTACAAGCCGTTTCTTCTGTTATCCAAGTGGTGTCTCAACCACCACACAGCAGTTCTTGAATGCTATTATTTCTGATTCTTGTAATTTGCTTTCTTTGTGTTATTTCATAATGGATTGTTTATTGTTTAGTGTTATTTTGTAATGGACTATGTTGGGGATAGGAGATTTAACTCAAAACTAATTTAGACTCAATTTGGCTTATATAAAATAGCAAAAGCTTCAATTTATTAATTTAAAAATAAAACTCCCTCATTGATCTAAATTAATCTATATGGTTGAGACCCCAACATTATATATGATCAAATTAAGTTAAATTCGCAACATAATTTTGTTGGTAATAATTTTGGGTAATTTTTTATTACTAATTGTTTTTACCATTAGTATGTCACAAAGGCTTACATAGATCAATAGAAATAACTTGTATTATTATTAACATGTGTCCTAATCAATCTTTGACTCATCACCTCATAGATAGGTCATTTTTATTTAGAGTAAGGGGGCATTTGGATTATATAATATTTTATTATAGGGGTATATTATATTAACATAAAAAAATCAACTTGAAGATTACTGGAAATGTTTAGATTATGTGTTTAGCTAGGAGGATAAATGAGTGGGTATGTTATATAGATTACTAAATTGCCCTCCTTTTAAAATATTAATATACAGTAAAACCTCCCTATAGTCATAATGGTGGAATCAACTAATTTTATTACTATAAGGAGGTTATAACTTAATAGAGGTGTAATTACAAAAATTATTGTTTTAATTTCTTATTTTATAATTCATGTTTTAGTAGTACAGTATTAGGAGGTCAATCAGCGCTTTAATTGCCTACTTTTAAAACAGGAAGACCTTGTCTTGGAACCAGCAAAGATAAGTGTCATTCATGGAACTATAAATGCAGTTGATGCATGGTCAATTGATGTGAAGCCATAAACAATTGTCAATGGTTTTAAGCATTGCAAAATTAGGATCTCTGATGTCGATGAATTGCAAGTTACAAATGAAGTAAACGAGGAGAATAAAAAGTCATTGCAAATTGAGTGATCAGATTCTACAATTTCACTACACTAATCGAATGGATATTAATGTCTTCCTCAATCATCCAAATGAGCAACAAATCGTGTATATTTTAACCGAAGAAGAAATCATTGCTACAATTAGACAAGAAGATAAAAGAAATAATCTTGATGATGATAGTACGGAAATACAAAAAGTTTCGTGTCATAAAGCTCTAAACATGCTTAAGAAGCTAAAATATTTCGGTTTCAACAAGAAGGTGTATATGCGAGCGAGTTATTACATACTCATAAGGTAAAATATGTGGTAACAACTCTAAAGTATAAATCATTGTCCCAAACAACTTTAGATAAATATTTTATTTTATCTTAAACTTTTAATGTAACATAACATATTTTTTTTTTTGATAATATACAGATAATTATTACTATGTGGAGACAACTTTCCTTAAGACGGGAATTGGAAAAATTATAACTTATTGCAATGTGGAGTTTATTCTTATTTATAACTATCCCAAATTTGGATTAGAATTTTTTATGATTATGTAGAATTTATTCCTATATAGAGTATCACTATAGAGAGGTTTTACTGTAATAGTATTTTTTTGAATTATTTCTTTTTAACCCCTTACATTTGAAATTTTGCTAAAACACCACAGCTATCTGACTTAGGGTTTAGTGACTAAAATGCAGCAGTTTTTGGGTGGTTGTTCAGGGCATATCCAATGGGACACTAAATTGGTGTAAAACACCAAAATCATATCCAAATTTTGCTCCAAGCAAACACCAAAAGCCATATCAAAACATCTTTTATTTCCTTATTTTTGTTATTTTTTAATTTGTATTTATGTTAATTTGATTATTATTTATATTAATATTTATAATAATTATATAATTCAAAAAATGATGAAAAATTAAAAACAAAACTTCATTCCAATGCAAATATTAAACTTTAATAACTCAAAATAAATTAACACTAATTTAAAAACACTTGAATTAAAAGAAAATACAACATAAACTGGAATAACAATTTAGCATTTTATATTAAATGTAATATTTTTTTATATTAAATGTAATGTTTACTTGATTTAATAAATGCTTAATTTTATTAAATTAACATAATTTTTAAAGTTATTTTTAGTAGTTAATTAATAATACATATTATTTTTAATATTTAATTAATATATAAAAAAATAATTAGTGAAATAAATTAATTGTTGAGAATTAATAGAAAGAAAAAGAAAGAGAATATTTTAGGGAATATTTCTTTTGGTGTAAGAGGTTAGAGATACAATAGTAAAATTGTGTGAAAGTTGCACCATGTTTGTGGAGACAGTTTATTAAAAGGCCATCTTAAGTTTGCATTTAATTAAAAGGCTATCAAGTTTTAAAGTGTTAACTAAATAGCCATATTATTGATTAAGGGTAATTAGTGCTTAATTAGGATTAATGAAGTATTATGTAATTTTTTCAAAATTATACTATATTCCCACAAACCCAAAATTGTTGCAAACAAACCCAAATACCTTCCCGCCATTAACGCATCTCTACCTCTGCATCTTCTTCTCTTCTTCTTAGCTTCGTCTACATCTTCTTCTTCTTCCTTCTTCCTCCTTCCTTCTCACTCTTCTTCTCCTCATTCCTCTATATCTTCTTGTTCCTCGCCATTAACACTTTCTTCTCTTCCACCATTAACATCTTCTCCGCCAAAGATCCCCTCCTCCTCCTCCTCCTCCTCTTGACATTTCGTTAAGTATGTGTATCTCCTTTTACATTTTATATTTAGATTTACAAAGATTTAATAATGATGGAGTTTGGGTTTTGATTTTGATTTAGTTGTTTAGGTTGTTGAGGTGTTGGGTTGTGTTTGATGTAATGCAAGTTGAAAGGAGTGAAATTGTTGAAAATTTGTTCTGGGTATGATGAAATCGATTGTAGGTGAGATGACTAAAAATGGTTTTTTTTATGATGATCGCTTAACGATCTGGTGGTATCGCTTAGCGATCTGGTAGGTCTGGTAATGCGCAGATAGATCGCTTAAGCGATCAGGATGCAGCAATAGATCGCTTAAGCGATCTGGTAAAAGTCTGGTGTATAGGAGCAGTCGCTTAAGCGATCAGTAAATGGCATAAGATCGTTTAAGCGATACAGCAGACTATATAAATGACTGTGCAGATTCTTTTTAAAATATTTGAACCCTTAGTACAAATTTAAGAATTTTTTTTTTTCTGCATTCAAGGTAGTTGTTATTATTACACATGGGACAAGTTGTTTTAGGTGTTGAATATTTTGGTGAGTGGGTGGAGGAAGAACGTAGCTGGAAGTGGATTGGAAGAGAAAGAAGTTATACCAATTGCTGTGACACAAAGGTTATTTTTGATGAGTTGATTGATGAAATAATTAGAAGAGGTAATTTGAGTTACTTGCGTAGTGATATGTTGTGAAGTATGTTTTAAGCAGAGTTCCTGAACATTATAAGGTACCTCCTGCTATATTAAAGTCGATGAAATTGAAGTTATATATGACTGATTGGCCAATAATGTTCGAGGCCGATTTTAAGGGTTTCTCTTGTAGAAAACCATTCAAAGTTGGTTCAAAGGAAAGGGATAACGGAAGTAGGCGGAGATTTGCCTGGTTTTAATTTGAACTACGAGGCCATTGATTTGTTAGTTGAAAAATCAAGAGTAGACAGTGAATTGGGTGGTGAGGAGGAACTGTAGAAGAGGTTGGTGATGGGGGGCAGAATGAAAATGTTGAGAGGAGGACCCCGTAGATTTTTCCCATAGATGTAGAGATTCCTTAAATACAGATTATGTAAAAGGCGTAGATTGTGAGGAAGAGAACACCTGGTCGTTTATGCAGGTTCAGAGAAGGCAATTGGAGGTAGTAGTGAATCAGTTCATGTTTTACGAATGGTCGGAGTTACACATAGGGTATTTATTTGACAACAAAGAGGAAGTGGTGAGGAAGCTAAGCTTGTTGCCGTGATAGGTATTTGTGAATTCATCACCAAAAAGTCAAATTCATTGGCTGTGATGGTTGCATGTCGTGACCGAAATGCAAGTGGCGGTTTATTGTAGATGGTTGGCGGAGTCGGAAAATTTATTCTTCACATATACCTGTGACGCACACTTGTGGTTTGAGACATATTTGAGTGAGCATCGACAAGCGTTCGCTGATGTTATTGGACAATTTGTCAAAGTCGATTCATTAAAGGGAATGTCCATCTCCTAAAGACATTCAGAGACTTGTGCGCATAGAGTTGGGATGTGCTGTTAGTTACTGGAAATGCTAGAAAGGGAGACAACATGTACAAGATTTGGTAGGGGCACGCCGGAGCACAGGTATGCAGTATTAGAACGTACTATTATATGCTTGAGTTGACAAACCAAGGTAGCAAGACGGCTTTGAAGTGGGACAGAATGATTTAAATATTTTTCTGTTGCTTACGGTTCTACTATAAGGGGTTTTGTAAACTGAAAAGTGTGTGGCTGTTGATGGTTGCTTCTGACAGGAAAGTATGGAGGTACATTGTTGTGGCCACTGCACAGGACAGCGAGAATCACACATATCCTGTTGCATGGTGTGTGGTTGACTCTGAGAATGACGAGTCGTGGACTTGTTTTTTTTTTCAGCAGTTACGTACGATAGTGCCTGACACTGACGAGTTGTGCATAATATCCGATTGCACAACCTATAAAGAAGGGGATTGTCCCTATTTACCATAAGCCATCACGGATTCTGTATGAGGCACCTGGGAGAACCATAAAACAAAAGTTTAGTGTGCTGGCCTCCTTCAGACATACAACATGGCAGCAAAAGCTTATCGGGTTGATGTGTTCGGAGTACTTCCAGCAAATCCGATTCAGGAGTAGGTTGCTAAGTATCTTAGCATGATGTTGGTTTCGAGAGATGAAGTAGGGCTTACTTTCCTGGAAGAAGGTTTGATGTCATGACCACGAACATAGCCGAGTCCATAAATTCAAAGTTGTTAATAGAAGAGTTGCCAATAGTTGCACTTTTTGATGCAATCCAAA